CCTCTTTGTCAGTCTCATCCAATCCTATGGGGAAGCATTGTGATTGGATCAGCCTACCACTTCTGCTAATGTCAGCAGGCAGTGGACGGGTCTAAAGGAAAAAGGCACAAAGCATGCAGCTGCAGACTTTAATACAAGTAAGATTTACTATATTTAGGGAAGCATGAGAGGACCAGGGTGGTTAGATGGTGGTTTTAACCCTATAGGGTCAGGAATACATGTTTGTGTTCCTGACCCTACAGTGCTCCTTTAAGATTGCCTCTAGTTGCTCTCTCCCAGACAGCTACAAGAAAAGCTTCATGCTGTTTCACAGAGTTTAACACCATGAAACAACGCTGGACATCCTCGCGCTTTGTTTGACAACATCTAGCATCTTCTAAATCCCTATAGGAAAGCATTTATTCAATGCTTTCCTATGTGGAAGACCTAATGCACATGTGGTGCTCCATGCACATGCCCATTAGGTTCCCCCTCATAATGATGTTAGAGGAGGAAACAAAGCTAGTGCCAAGGATTCTCAGTGCTGGAAGTGAATTTATTTTTTTAAATCATTTAATTGCAAACTGGGGGAGGGGTCACGAGGGTAGAGGTACACTATAGCTTTGCACTTCGAACACTATATAGTGTTACTTTAATGTCAACCTCCTCGTTATTTCCCAAATTATTCTGCATTGCTTTTGTATTGCTTCTGTATTTTTGTAATCTGAACTTGATATAGAATATTTTAGTTTAATAAGACTGGACCATTTGCTAATTAAAGTAATCAAAAATGCTAAGGTTTTTTTTCCAGGTTATGAATCAAATGCTAAAATATACAATATATTGCATAGTCACAAACTAGTAATCACTTGTGGAGTGTAGTATTGTAACAGTGCTCGATCAGCACCACCAATTGGTGTGGTAACTCTCTCGTAAAAGAACTGAGTTTACCTTTTTCCTGGCAGCTCTCCGTCCAAGCCACATCTGCTGCACCAACCGGCCAGTCCAAAATCAATAGGGATTCAGGCTACTGCAGTTCCGTGCTATCTTATAACGACACCCCCAAAACCTTAATTTCTTATGCAAAAGTACGCACCTTGTCACTTTATCAAAGCACACGGATGTTCTGGGGTCATCATTTTGACCAACCAGCAGTGTTTTAGGTTTATTTAACAGTGCCCTGTTGTGTTTTCCACTTGTTGCTTATCCTGAGAGTGCGTTCGTATAGTTGTTCTTTTGGTATTTTGATCTCGGCTTGTTCTGGACTATCCCTAATTCTGGTATCCTTGACCTTTTGGATTTGTCTATACCTTATTGTCTCTGTCTGTGTCCCTGACCTCGGCTTGTTCTTGACCATTCTTTTACATTAAGTCCGGCCTTTTTAAGGCTCGGTAATATGTGTATTTAAACTAATGGCTTTCTATGTTTTACTTAAAGGAGCACTATATGCAGTTGTGTATTCTGGATTTGTGTTGCCCTAGGCACGACTAAATTCGGCACCCTCTTATCTAAATTTGCCCCACCGATTTGTGTCAAGGCCTTTTTTTTTTTTTTTTTACCTGACAGACACACACATTCACAATGACAGGCACAAACACACAAACACACACACTGACAGTCACAAACATACACATTAGAAATTACTATGTTACAATATTGTGGGTTTCCCTTTATCCCCACATGAAAATAGACATATACATACGGTATAAGGTGGAGTATATTAAATACAATAAGTCTTCCAGTAGTAGTCGCAATAAAATAGTCCAAATGGAAATGTTCTCTAGAATATGAACATAAATACAAAGAAATAGTGCAATATAGCCAATTCCAATCAGTAATCAATATGTATAAGAGATACTCACAAACATAGAGCTAATACAAAGGCTCAATAGTGGAGCTCTGTGGGTACTAAAGGGACCCACTTCCTTCTTGTTGCTGCCTGCAGTATCCAAATATAGGATGTCCTCTCAGGATATATCAAAAATAAAGTGCTTTATTTAAATATGCACATAAATATATAAAATACATAAAAATCAATAGAAAACCTTACAGTTTGTAAAGGTTGGTCCTTATCTAAGGTGCAAAACACCTTTCGCCTCGTCTAGAGGCTTCCTCAGTTGCTGGCTTGTGTCCACAGTGGGTCTTTCTTAAATGTCCTCCCCTCTGGCGGTCTTTTTTGGCGTTTTTCGGCCCTATCGAGTGTATTACACTTCCGCTTCTGGGTTCGGCCTTTTGCGTTCCATCCGTGGAACTCATGTAAACTCTGACGTATAGGTTCAGTGTTATTGCGTTCCACTTCCGTTTCCGGTTTCCGGGTTCGGCTGTATGCGTTCCATTCGTGGAACGCAAATGGCGCCTAATATTTACACATTATGTGTCCCAAACATCCCTCTATAAAGTCTCATCTTGTCACAGTGCAAATAAAGGAGGAGATGCAAAACTAAAACATATCACTAAGAAGCATGTGTTGCATGTTACATATAATGTGCCTCTAAGAAGTTGATTGTCTCACAGTCTGGTCACACCCCAGAAAGAAAAATACATATCTCAATCTAACAAGGAATATATAATAAATGGTCCCATGTTACCATTTAAAATGACAGTGCATCTTTTTCTTGAATAAAAACATCAAGTGTCTCAATATAAAGAACAAATAGCATCAAAACTTATGTTTAGGATCTTCTTAAAGAGAGAAGAAAAAAAAAAATTAAAATTCTGGGTAAAAAAGTTTAGCAATTTTAAGATAAAATGATTAAAATAAATTAAAAATGACATACTTCAAAATCTAAATTTAAACCATAAGGGACCAAGGTCTTAAAATGAAATATAAGACTCATCTCCTCTTTTCCTAATATGGATATAATTTCCCCCTCGCCAATTCCTTTTAACTTCTTTTATTGCACAAAAGGATAGATTATCAGGTTTTTGGTTGTGTACTTGTTTAAAGTGTAACGATACATTATGAGTTTCTAGACCATTTTTTATGTTTCTAATATGTTCGGCAATTCTTACTTTTAAAGGTCTTATCGTTCTACCTATATAAAGAAGATTGCATGGGCATTTTAACATGTAATAATTCCCTTTGAATGACATGTGAGATGGTCATTTATAATGTAAGGTTTCGTAGTAAATTCTTTTAAATCTTTTATATGTCTTTTCTTGCTCTTGGTTGTCTTACAAGGAAGGCATGTTCCACACGCATAAAAACCCTTCAAATTTTGAATATGGTTGTAATATTTTTTAGGGGATAAATGGCTTTTTACTAAAATATTTTTAAAATTCTTAGCTCCTCTGTATATTATCTTAGGATATTCGGGTAAAATTTGGTTTAAAATTGGATCATCTCTTAATAGGTGCCAATGTTTTTTCATTATTCTACGGGTCTGTCTGTTTTGTCCATTATAATTACAGATGAAAGGGATCTCATCCATTTGGTTTGTGGTTGTTCTTTGTTTATATTTCAACAAGTTTTTTCTTTGTAGTTGTCTCACTTCTTCTCTTTCTTTATCCAGGATTGCTTCGTCGTATCCCTTTTCAACAAATTGTTCCTTAATATAGTTAGACTGTTGCAGATAGTCAGAATCTAATTTGCAGTTGCGCCGGATCCTCAAAACTTGGCTTCTAGGTGCGTTGTTCAGCCATGGGTTGTGATGACAGCTAGTTTTCTCGATATAACTATTGGCATCAACTGGCTTAAAATAGTTTTTCGTGATTATAGTAGATTCATGAATATTAATTTGTATATCTAAAAATTCTATCTGTTGAGTGCTAAAGTGACTAGTTAAATTAATCCTGTAATCATTAGTGTTTAAATGCAAGATAAAATTACAGAGTTCTTCTACGGAGTCTGGCCATATAAAAAAGATGTCATCTCTAAAACGGCAGTAGGACACCAAGTGCCCCCCCCCCCCCATTGATTTCCTTGGAAGACAAAGGATTCTTCCCAAAATGCCATAAAAAGGTTGGCATAGCTGGGGGCAAACTTGGTGCCCATTGCCGTACCACAAATTTGCAGATAAAAGTGTTGTCAAACCAGAAGTAGTTGTTTGTTAAAATAAGTAAAATCCCTTCTAAAATGAAATCTACCTGTTCTTTTTTAAAATTGGATTTTTCTAAAAAACATTGGACTGCTGTTATTCCTTTATCATGTGGAATAATGCTGTATAATGAGGTGACATCACATGTAACCATCTGGTGCCCCTCTGTCCATTTCGTATTTTCTAAAATTTGTAGAAAGTGGATAGTATCTTTTAAATAGGAGCGTTTTTTTATAACTATCGGCTGAAGTAAGGTGTCGATGTATTCGGAAACTCTTGTAAAAACTGAATCGATCCCTGATATAATGGGTCTCCCTGGTGGGTTTTCTATACTTTTATGTACTTTCGGTAAAGTATAGAACACTGGGATTTTGGGATTTTCTATTAACATATACTCTGTTTATTTTTCATTTAAAATTCCTAATTCCTTTCCCTTCTTAATGTAATCTTTAAAAATCTTAATAATTCTTTGTGTGGGATTATGTGCAAGTTTCTGATAAATTGACTGGTCTAAAAATATTTGTACTGCTTCTATAGTATATTGTTCTTTATTTTGAATTACTATTCCACCTCCTTTGTCGGACGGTTTTATTATCAAATTTTTATCATTTTTAATTTCTTTCAAGGCTTTCTTTTCTCCTAGTGATAGATTATGTTGATATTTATTAGTTTTCTTAAGTTTTTCCACATCCTTCATTACCATAATCTCGAATGATTTTATTTCATTGGAGATTAGGTGTCTCGGAAAGAATTTAGATTTCTCTTTTAGGGATGTGTGGAGGTATTCGTCTTCCTCCTCTATCCCTTCTTTCTTATCGTTATTATTAAAAAAATTCTTTAAACATAGTTTTCTTATAAAATGGTTAATATCTACATAAAAATCAAAAGAATTAAAATCTGCAGTTGGAGCAAACTTAAGACCCTTCTTAAAAATACTATTTTGTTCTTCACTTAAAATCTGACCTGTGAGATTAAAAATTCCTTCTAAATTGAGGTCTTCCCTCTTTTTTCCTGATGTTGTCTCTTTCTTTCTTCTCTTTCTCCTTCTCCTTCTCCTTCTAGGGACCGCTGTCTCTTCCCTAACGGTTCCCAAAATTGGGAGCTCTCTATCGGTTTCCTTCTGTTTTGAATTAGGTCCCTCCGAAAAAAAGAAGGGGAAGGTGGAGTGTCTGGCGGTGGGGAAGTATTGCTATTCTGGTTATCCAGAGTGTCTAATCTTTTAGGTAAATCCGGCATATGTTTGTTTCCTGTAGTTATGCCTTCTCTGACTACATCACTATATTGTCTAATGGAGCGATGAGTAGTCGGAGATTGCTTCTTTTGTGTAGGTGTGTTATAATGTTGTGATGGTTTATATCTAGAGTGATGAGACAGTCTAGGTGAGTTCACTTGTTCCAGGGGTTTGAACTCTAAATTGTTATATCTATTTTTATAGAGGTACTCTCTATGTGACGGTTTCCTATTCCTCTCCCATGTTTGGTTCCTTTTAAACTGTTGTTCCTTTTGATATCTTTTAATAGGTGATGATTGTGTAGTTTTCCTAACATAGGAATTTCTATTATGTGTAATATAAGTCTGTGTATTCTTTTTCTGAATAGGTCTTACATTTCCTGATTGGTAGTAGTTTTTTTTTTCCTTCTCTCTTTAAGAAGATCCTAAACATGAGTTTTGATGCTATTTGTTCTTTATATTGAGACACTTGATGTTTTTATTCAAGAAAAAGATGCACTGTCATTTTAAATGGTAACATGGGACCATTTATTATATATTCCTTGTTAGATTGAGATATGTATTTTTCTTTCTGGAGTGTGACCAGACTGTGAGACAATCAACATGCTTCTTAGTGATATGTTTTAGTTTTGCATCTCCTCCTTTATTTGCACTAAGACTGTGACAAGATGAGACTTTATAGAGGGATGTTTGGGACACATAATGTGTAAATATTAGGCGCCATTTGCGTTCCACGAATGGAACGCATACAGACGAACCCGGAAACCGGAAACGGAAGTGGAACGCAATAACACTGAACCTATACGTCAGAGGATACATGCGTTCCACGGATGGAACGCAAAAGGCCGAACCCGGAAGCGGAAGTGTAATACACTCGAAAAGGCCGAAAAACACCAAAAAAGACTGCCAGAGGGGAGGACATTTAAGAAAGACCCACTGTGGACACAAGCCAGCAACTGAGGAAGCCTCTAGACGAGGCGAAACGCGTTTTGCACCTTAGATAAGGACCAACCTTTACAAACTGTAAGGTTTTCTATTGATTTTTATGTATTTTATATATTTATGTGCATATTTAAATAAAGCACTTTATTTTTGATATATCCTGAGAGGACATCCTATATTTGGATACTGCAGGCAGCAACAAGAAGGAAGTGGGTCCCTTTAGTACCAACAGAGCTCCACTATTGAGCCTTTGTATTGGCTCTATGTTTGTGAGTATCTCTTATACATATTGATTACTGATTGGAATTGGCTATATTGCACTATTTCTTTGTATTTATGTTCATATTCTAGAGAACATTTCCATTTGGACTATTTTATTGCCACTACTACTGGAAGACCTATTGTATTTAATATACTCCACCTTATACCGTATGTATACAAACATACACATTGCCAGACACACACAGGCATTTTCTTATACATTCTACAATTATTCAGATTTTTTATTTTATTTAAAAGGACATACCTCACTCTTCACCCGGCTAGAATATTATTACGTTAACACCTAGATGGCAGCAAGCTCTTGGGCCCACCAGTACACAAGGCAAACAAGGCATTTACCTGGGCACTCGGGCTGCATTTTTTGCTGTCCCCCTGAAAGTGCCGCCCTTGGCAAATGCCTTGTTTGCCTTGTGGTAAATACAGCCCTGACTATATGGCCAGGAACACAAACATATATTCCTGACCCTATAGGGTTAAAACCACCATCTAGCCACCCTGGTCCCCTCATGCCTCCCTAAATATAGTAAAATCTTACTTGTATTAAAGTCTGCAGCTGCATGCTTTGTGCCTTTTTCCTTTAGACCCGTCCACTGCCTGCTGACATCATCAGAAGTGGTAGCCTGATCCAATCACAATGCTTCCCCATAGGATTGGATGAGACTGACAAAGAGGCAGATCAGGGGCAGAGCCAGCATAATTTAAACACATCCGTGGCCAGTCAGCATGTTCTCATAGAGATGCATTAAATCAATACATTTCTATGAGGAAAGTTCAGTGTCTGCATGCAGAGGGAGGAGACACTGAATGTTTGGATGCATTTTAGGTCCAGGAAGGCTCTCTAACAGTTATCTGAGGAGTGGCCAGTGAAGTTATCACTAGGCTGTAATGTAAACACTGCATTTTCTCTGAAAAGACAGTGTTTACAGCAAAAAGCCTTAACGTAATGATTCTACTCACCAGAACAAATTCAATAAGCTGCAGTTGTTCTGGTGACTATAGTGTCCCTTTAATTCTACATGTTGGGTCACAGTATATTTCTGACAACTATGGATTGAAAATACAGATAAAGAACATTAAAAATCGTGGAGATAGTGGGGAACAAAGCAAACAACAAACAGCAAGTATATGAGTGTTAAGTCATTATATTAACATATGCTGTTAACAAATACATAATGTAGCATTTCATGTGTTGAAAGCTGGAAAAATTGGCCAGCAAATAATCTGAGTGGCTTTGATAAGGGTCAAATGGTGAAAGCTAGATGACTGGGTCAGAGCATCTCAAACGACAAGTCTTGTGAGGTGTTGCAGGTATGCATGAGCGCCCAAGGCACATTTATTTATTTATAAAATATTTTACCAGTAAAGATACATTGAAATTTCTCTTGTTTTCAAGTATGTCCTGGGTCCACAAAACATTGCATTGATACATTAGGGTACAATAATATACAAAATCAATATTAATACACAAAATGTAACATAGAACAGGTAAGAAATATATAATCAACCATAACACGTGCATTCTGTTTTGAGGTCTGTAGAGAGAGATCTCTTAAAGGACTTTAGGCTTTGGGAAGATTTTAAAGTGTGCGGGAGGTCGTTCCATAATTGTGATGCTCTGTAGGAAAAGGAGGATCGGGCCGCTTTCTTTTTTTGTTGAGGTAGACTAAATAAAGTGCTGGTACTAGATCGGAGGTTATAAGAGGTGGGAACTACTGAGGAGAGCATTCTACTCAGGTAGGGCGGGAGCTTCCCAGAAACACAAGGCTGGAAAGATGAAGGGTGTGTCTGGATTCCAGCAACAGCCAGTTTAGTTCTTTTAGCATGTCACAATGGTGGGTCCTGTAATTACATTGTAGGGCAAATCGGTGCATATACTACATCCCCATAATCCATGATTGGCATCAGCATTTGCTGTACAATCTTTTGCTTCACTGTAGGGCTTAGGCACAATTTGTTTCTGTACAAGGCACCTAGTTTTGGATAAAGATTAGATGCAAGTTTTTCTGTGTGGAGGCCAAAAGATAGATTGGGGTCTAACAACATACCCAAGTATTTGAAAGAGTGGACTGCGGTCAGTGTGCTATTTGAATTTGTTTTGATAGTTAGGTCGGAATTGTGTAATTTGTGTAATTTTGGTACTGTTCCAAAGATCATTGTGACAGTTTTGTCAGTGTTTAGGAAGAGTTTGTTTTTGTGACCCACTTTTCTACTTCTGTAAACTGTTCTTGGAGCACAGCCTCAAGCTGCGGTAGATGGGATTTGCTCGCATAGATCACTGTGTCGTCTGCGTACATGTGTACATTTGAGGATTTGCAGACATTAGGCAAATCATTTATAAATAATGTAAATAATAGGGGCCCGAGAATGGAACCTTGGGGAACACCACGCGTGACTGGGAGAGGGAGGGAGTCGCTGTCAGAAATGGACACATATTGAGAGCGATCCGATATATACGTGTGACGGAACGCTGGCACTCCAACTGAGTACCTCCGCCAATCGATGCGTCAAGTGCTCGCTGAGGACTCCAAGCACTCCAACCAACACCATCAGCACTGCAGACCCCACTTCCAGCGATACAGCTGCGCCGGGGTCCCGCTATCTCCATCCACCCTGGATCCACGACCAGGATCCAGCTCCCAGTGGGTGAACCTCTCCTAAATCCAGAGAGCGTAGCAGGAACAAATCAAGCCATTGCAAGAGTATACTCTGGGGAGTAAGTGATTATAGCAATCCCCAGAGTGTAGTTTTCCAATCCCCCAAAAATGAGCCAAGGCTTAATGCTGGAACAAGACTTTACTGGTAACAACAACAGGTATTCAAGCTACAGTTTCTTTTATGCCCTGCTCCCATGCAGGGGAGGGACACATACGTTATCTACAGTAGCCAATAAAACAGAGGTTACAGCCCACACAAAATCCTCCCCTCTGCCTGTGATTCAATTATCTTATACAATAGAAGATGCAATTATCACAGGTAGGAAAAATACAGTTTTTACAGCATATTCATAACTTCTAAAATATACATCACATTCACATAAAAATTATATATTTACAATCAATCCATTCAGGGAAACATCATATCAAAAAATGGCATGAATCAGACCAGGGGTTCAGAAGTTAGTAAAGTATCTTTTGGGGCCTGGCTGGCAGCATGGATATCTGGCACAAACCGGTTTTACAGAGCCCTCTATCCTGGAGACAATGGGGAAAATAATCCAATTATCCAGGGATAGAGGCAGAGTCCATTGAGCACATGTTCCCAGTAAAACACAAAAGGATACAAAAATACATAACTCCTATCATACTGAATTGAACGGGCCAAATCTCCCAGGGTCCATAGTCACAAGGCAAGAGGCGGGCAAGCAGTCCTCTCCAGGCACAAGTGGCGAAGGGCACTTCGTCACAGTAATAAATCCATGAATAAAATAGCAGGGAGGGAAAGTATCGAATGAATTGAGGGGGATTCTTCACAATACGATTGAAACCAGGTTAGCGGACAATCACCAATACCTGAGTTTTTGAATTTGTGCAGTAGAATGTTGTGGTCTACTGTGTCAAAGGAAATAGCTCAGGTTAAGTCTCCTTGTTCCATGCCATTTTGGCTGTCATTGCAAACTTTTAAGAGGGCAGTTTTAGTGGAGTGATTCGGGCAAAAACCCAATTGATCAGGAGTCAGATAGTTTGATTGTTGGTAATACTCACATAGTTGCGTATGGACGCATTTTTCTAAGATTTTTGACAATACTGGGAGCAATGATATTGGGCGATAGTTAGAAACCAAAGCAGTGTCACCACTTTTATGGATAGGCACTACTCTTTCAGTCTTCCAAAGTTTGGGTATGTATCCAGACACCAAGGATTCGTTAATTAGGGTTGCGACAGGTTTAGCAATTGCCGGCGCACT